TCTTCATCATCAAACTTGATTTCAAGCCTCAATAGATCGCTGATGATCTAATTGAACACATTGGTGTGTTGAATCAGATCCGTACCCTCCAACATCTTTAGCCCTACAGCCGCTGCTTTAGATGCAGTTTGTTCGTGAGAGACTTTGACATATAACGACTCTCCAATTTCTCCCAAACCTCCGCCGGAGACTCAACTTCCATGATGTGATACATGATTTCGTCCGCCAAACAAAGCCGAATTGTACCAACTGCTCGCGCCTCGAGCTCTTCCCAATCGGCATCTGACGTACCCTCAGGTTTCTTCCCAGATAGTGCCTTCATCATCCCTTGCTGCGCCAACAAATCCTTCACCCTTCGCTGCCATAATCCGAAGTTCCCAGATCCGTCAAACTTCATCACATCAAATTTTGCAATCGAAGAACTCGCCATCTGAACCTGGCTCTGATACCAGTTGTTGGATTTTATGCGCAATATTAAAGAGATGAAAAACGGAAATCAACAAAAGAATTTTACGTGGTTCGGCGATGTGCCTACGTCCACGAGAGCGAAGCGGAGATTTCTTTATTCTGTTGTGAAAAATAGGGTTACAACATATTATTTATACTAACCCTAATCTGGGCCCATATAAAACTTTAAGGCCCGTACAGAAAATACCCCTGTACCGTACCGCGGGGGCATTGCCCCCGCACCCCCAACCCATTCAACGTCCCTAACAACCAGACAGTGAATTAAACCCGCGTTTGATCCAGGGCCTGTGTTCCGCTCTATATGAGCCACATGTACAACACCAATAATAGACTTAATTATCTTTACTCGACCAATGTTTAAAAAGGCAGCAAGGGTATTAAGGCATTTTTCCTCTGTGAGTCGATGCATAAGCTTAGAGGAGGATTGAGGTGTAAGCCTAAAAAAACAAAAAAATTTAGTTAAAAATTTATAAAATTATACAAAAATAAGAAGAATTTGAGAAAGAAAAAAAATTAAAATCTGAGTGAGAGAAGACGAAATGTAGAAAATAGAAAAATAATTAGCATGGATTTGTCGGAGCTTCCAAGGTTAAAGAAAAACTGTAGTTCATGACTTGGTGCCAAAATAAAAACAAAGAGAGAATTTCAGAAGGGCCTGAGGATAACTTTGTTCACTCATCAAGCTATGGCCAAAGTTTCTACTTCAGGAGCTAGTCAACAACTGATTCCGCTCCTACTATCATAGCTCCAATCTCAAAATCTACCAATAACAGAAGCAACTAAACTAAGCACATCTAATGCTAGAAAGAAATGTTTCAAATGTTTAAGCTTTTGGGCATATTGCCTCTGGTTGTACAAATGAAAGGTTATTGCTTTTATAGAAGATTTCGTGCAGCGACACCATATCTATAAATTTTGAAAGACGATTTGGTAAAGGAAGAAATAAAGACTTCAGTGAATCTCTTGTCATTTGTTTTAGCACTGGATTTGTTTAATACCTGCAACATCTGCTTTAAAAAAATTAGTTGATGGGACAAGCTTAAGGGGCACTAGAGGATTCAACGATAAATGATGACCTTTTTGTTAAAGAGGAAATAGGACTAGAGATTGAATCTTCTTCAATGAGTGCATGATACCGAACTATTTCTTGAAGTAAAAGTGATAACATTTGGTTTCGTCTTTAAAAGGAACGATTTCATCAAGGTATGTTAATCTTCATCCAAAAGCTGAAACCCGTTCAATGTCTAAACATATTAGCAAAATGCATACAAAATTTATCTACTCCCTACTTATGGCGTTGCAAACACATTCAATATTAATAGTCCAGTTTTCAGTGTAGCAGACTTGTATCCTTATTGAGGCACGTTCGAGCCTATGGTGTTGCCATTTTCCATTTCCATTTCTGCAAGTCATGCTTCTTACCCACCCTGTCGGCCTCCTGCTACTTCATTCCCCTATCCAATATCACCTAGAGGTGCTTGAGAATCAGGTTGTTGCTTCGAAAGATGGTGTTTATCGCAGTTTTCTTGTGTGGGAAAGATTGCGTGTCTAGTGATATCACTTGTATTACTTAACAGGGATTTAGCCAGCTTGCTTTGACAATTTTGGATGACTATTTGCAGCTGACTGTAGTCACGTTCTTTTCAGTCTTGAGAAATGATGCAGCATTATGAGTTCATTCAAGACAATATCAGAATTAAGATTACTTTTATTACAAATTATTGTAGTTTTATATATTAAGACAATTTTAGACTTATTGTTTCCTACCTTATTTAGGTTAGGTTAAATCCTTTATATAAAGAGGGTTAATATTTTTTTAAAATTACACTTTGATTTTTGAATATTAAGAAAACTTTTCCCAACCTCTCTTTCTCGCCTCCCTCAATTCTCTTTCCCTCTTCTCTTCCTCTCTTCTTTTCCTCTCCACTTCTAAATTCTCATAAAATTTGGCAGTTTGATTGATTGTTATGTGGTACTGCATCACAGACTGCAATGGGATACTTATTGGACTGGATCCCTTCTGAAAATGTCATCCATCTCACCAGTTGTCTTTAAAGCTTTAGAAAGCAACCTTATCTCCATATCCACACATGCAAGGGTAGATGATTTGAAAAAGTAGTTTATTTGCTAAATTTACTTAATATGAGCTTATCTGTCTGGGGATGATAATATTTTTTACCATAGCAAAATGAATGGAGTTGTTTGGGTCTTAGAGAAATTAGACAGCTGGCTCGGCCTTTCATCATCAGAAAGTAAGTTAAGGTTTGTTCATTTTTTCATTTCCTGACTCTGCTTGCTTTAATATTGTGTAGGCATGCTTTGAAGGGAATCCATTCAAAACAGTTCCAGGGCCTTTCAAGCTATTTTGGCAGTGCATGCGGTCAAAACCTGGGTATGTTCGAGATCAAACTCTTCTGCCTCACATCTGTCTCTAGTCATTACATAATTGAATGTTCTCTTTTCTCAGAGACATTTTAAGTTATCTGAACCCTTGGTAAATGCATTGCCCTAGAAATTGCCAGAAAATTATAAAAAGGCGTTGAATGATTATATTTGGTTATGAGGTGTAGCACCAAGATGATTAGTTGCTAGGAATGTAGAGCCTACATAGGGGTGAAGTGAAGTACTTTAACTTAATCTCTATTAAACTAAAAAATGATAGTTGTGATCTAAATATCTTGTAATTAATAACAATAATTCTCATTAATGTAGGCATGTGCATCTTTCGTTCTATGTTCTTTTATTTATTTTTGGTAGCTGAATATTGAGTTATATAACTGCTATGCAGGGAAGAGCCTACTCAGCCATTCTACTACTTGGATTTGGACCCCCCTACAAGAGAAGTAAAGTTTGAGTAGTGCCTTATCTTAGAATTCCTAAATAAGGTCATCATTTTGTTTTTTAATTTCAGTTCTTCTTATCAATGACTACATTGTGATGAAACTGCTCATAATTCTGAATTTTTATTCCTTGAACGAAAGTGACCATAAAATGATGGTTGATGATCTATCTTAAAACAAAACATGAGATCAATGTCTCCTTTATGAATCAGAAGTTGCGTAAAAGATTATCAATTTTGTATATTAGAGCGTGATAATTATAGCAGGAAGTATTGTCTAGTTCAATGTTCAGTCATTTTGTTGCTCTAGCATGATATCTTTTCATTTGAGTCCCGTCTTTGCTAATTAAGCTGTACTCGCTTTCTGTTCTGCTGTCAATTTTCTATTATGGGGGCAAGGTGAATCGCTTCTTTATTCCTGTGACAAAGTGACTTTGTTGATCTGTGTTCAAAGAAGATAACATGTTTCTAGCCTATCTAAAATTATTTCAAGGGCCCGTCAGAATTAAATCAACATTGAAGTTCACCCTTGAAAATGTTGTTCTTGGAAATTCGCTGATGTCATTATTCACATGGAGCCCAATTGCCTGTCAAACCTAAAGGATGTTTCTTAACGAGAACATAATCACATAATCTGAATTCTTGATTACAGTTGCCCTCTTTGATGCTCTTATAACTTATGTTCAAAGACATGTTTGACAAAGCTTAGAAAGAAGTAAAGCAACTTCTTGTGTTCAAACATGTTTAGTTAATCCACTTTTATTTTCTTAGGTCACTATCAAAAATAAGAAACTTATTTATTTCCCACTTTCTCCCAAAAAAAATAAAAAAACCTATTAATTTCAGGACTTATTTAAATTTTAACTGTAGCCAAACAAATTCTTCAAGTTCATGTCAACATTTTCATCATCTCGAGATTAAGTTCACTTTTCACCGTGGACTTGTAGTCTATGCCTCTTGTGGTCTAGCGCTGCCATTGACTCTCTATTAGTCTTTTGGCTAATGGCTTGGCTCAATTGAGGTCTCGTCCGTCTGCTTGAGTAGTTTCTTCAACATGGAAAACGTTCTTTTTTCATCTCACCATGTAAGAGACATTTTTGTTTTTTTCTGCAAAACATTTTCTAGGTTCTGTCCAATTATGTGCTATTACTTGGAATAAGAACATCAAATAAGCATATGATCTTATTCATCTCATAGTTGTTGAAATACCAAAATGACTATCAAAACAACACAAATTCACTGGTCCTATTTTAACCGTAAGAGATCCAGTGACTGGTTGATACAGTTGTAAACAATTAATTTTATCTACAAATGACAGTCATTGAAAGAAGGGTTTCCATAGGTCAGAAACTAGAAATCAATGATGGGTTCTCCAACGGTGAGATTACGCTCCAAGTTCCATGGTAGATTGAAGAGCTTTGCTGTAATGAACTTGAAGATCTTATTCACGTTGATGTTGTAGGTTGCACTTGAAAAGAACAATGTTGCATTCAGTGCCTTTGCATATGCTCTTGCCTGTTTTCGTACATACAACTCGTGTTAGTATTTTGTATCCCGAATGTTGAGGACTTTTGGTAGTTGGAGTAAAATTAGCAGATGCAAAAAAGACAAAAGACAATTTTTTTTTTTTTTTTTTTTTTTTTTTTTTGGAGTTCGGTGACACGGATTCTGTTTAGGCTGGCCCGAGAAGCTCGTGGTGCGACATATGTGGTAAAACTAAAATTATGAAGAAAAATGAAGGTCTGTGGTGGTAGTGGTCGGTCCAACCCCCTAGCCCACCACTGATCCCTATGGAGGTGCAAGGACGGAGCCCCCACAGTTTGCAGCTGATTTATTATGTATGATATATATTAGGGTTTAATCACATTATGAGATTTGGAGTAGTCGCACATCTTGTAATTATCTTTGATATAGTACATTTCTTCTCCCATGCTTTCTCGTAATGGGCTTCCCGGTAAATATTGTATTCTTGTTCTAATTTCATATATTTTCTATCCTTTTTTTTGAGTAACACTTTTTGAATGGAATCTAAATTTATTTCTTGAATATGTTTCCAATTTAAGATGATGTTTGTGATTTTTACCTGACTTGCGATTGTCCACTGCAAATCTATTGGTAATTGGACGAAATCGTCAAACTTGGTCCCTATTATTACTGGGATTGCCGTCTGCAACATGATCATAGATTCACATGTCATTTAAGAACACATTCTACATAAAAATGCATCATATTTAAATTTGTTTTACCTGATTCCATTGCCTGGCTTGTTGAAACCATGGAATTACACTGTAATCACAGAAACATCCAACATTCATGCAAGTTTATTGAGAATTAATCTTAATATTTTTCTTGATGAATTGAGATGTTACCTGTTCAAGGTGCACCGACTCGTGAGATCGAACATAAATAACATTGCTACTGAATCTTTACAGGCTGCTGGAATGTTGTCATCAGCTGTAGAAACATTTCCTGCATTGTTTAAAATGCAATCGAATGTTGGTACCCAAAATTCTCTCTTGGTATTTTATTTATTAGAAATTATGTGAATTTTGTTGCTTACCTCCCACTTCCCAGATGCTATAAGAAATGTGTGCTCCTTTCACACACAATGTTTTGTCCACCTGATTCATTCCTGTCATTGCAAATTCTTTAAGCCCTTTTTCTCTCCCAGCATATTTGGTCTTCAACATAAACAAATGAAACCAACATCAGACACATTTAGCAATTTGATAAAAGTTTTATAGTCTACAAAAATGTTTTCATATGTTTTGGTATGTTAGAATGGACAGAGGTACTAACCAGAAAACTTGTCTTGCCAATCTGACCATCACCCAAGAGACTAATTTTCAAAGAGACTAGATCTGATGAATCCCTGTCGGGATTGCAGCAGCAGCGTAGTGTCGAGGCCATATCCGTGGAGGACAAGCCAGCACTACCCCCCAGAGGTGATGAAGAGAAAGAGACGGTGGTTGCTGCGGTTGACAATTGTCTATACAGAACGGATGACTTTCCGATCCAGCAAGCAAGAAATCGTTTCCAAATCGAGTTGAGATACCACCGGAGAATCGAGACCCGCCAGAGGATTCTTCTCTTGATATTGAAGTGAAACATTTTTCGGCAAAGCTGAGTCATTTTTACGTTTATGTCAAGAGAGATGGCCTCAGCAACTTCCTTTGGCCATAGAAGTGGAATAGCTTTGCCTTGCCTTGTACCTCTTTTGATGTCTCCCTAATTGTGGGGTGCATTCTTCTTTATCATTAAGAACTCAGCAAAATTTTAATGGACATTTGGTAAGTAATGGTGGCCTCGTCATTCTGGACATGAGTTGACCGATATATTGTGGGTACCCCACATTAATTGCATTCTAAATTATCGTTCCATCACTTTATCTAGAATTTGACATATAAAGACGTGGCGGAACTAACTTCGCTACATCCATTGCTTGTTTTTCTAAGCTTATTTTTCTTAAAATAATCATTTTTTAATGAATAAAGTTGAAAATAAGTAAATTCAAAATAACTTCTATTTAAGTAATTTTTAAGTATATGTGCCACTTGTAAAACGTTGTGTGAGGGGGCGCATGTTCTTTAAAGATTGAACCCCAACTTTGAGAGTCCTCACCGTCCCGTCTCTAGAGTTTTGTGAAGGCGCATGTTCTTTGATTCGATGGAAAGCAAATCATGCTGTACATGGTCTTGCAAAGTTAGCTCTTTATCAATTCAATTATCTTGAATGAAGCGGTTGTGCTACTAATGGCTAATTTCTTTGAAAACAATGTTGAGTCGAGCTTGATCAATAAAATTGTTTTTATTTGTGTCAAAAATCACATTGTATGTATTACGATCAAGGTTGTATTTTATGTTAACTTTTTATTCAAATATTATCAATTTTCTATTCTTTTCTATTAATTGTTGATATGTATTTACAAATCATGTGTGAATGTGTGATGGAAAAACTTGTCTGGATGTAGATTTTGCCGGGTTTTTACTATTTTGTAATGAATCTTCGGCAGAAAAAGTGGATCAAAGTCTTGTCGTTTGGTGGCTATGTATGATTCTCGCGCACACAGAAAAAATCTTTGGCGATTTGTATGGGAGAGAATTGAAATGAACCACACACGTACACCCCAAAATCTGGTATGCTCTCACATAATTCCATATTCAATTTTCAATGATTTGGGTCCACGTAAGTCATCATCCCATTAATATTATTCATTTTGAGAGAGTTTAAATCTATTTTATTCCTCATTATTTTTTTCATCTCCAAGATTCATATTCAATACCTCTGCCTTATTAGACACTTAAATTGAATATTACCATCAATGATACAAAATGTTTTGAATTCGAATTTTGAGAGATGACTCTCCCCAAATAGATAATATGTACGAGTTAACGGCTTATGCACAGATCCAAATTGTTACAATATGTGTCCACTTCACTATATGTTGTTCAGTAATCGAGGCATCGAATTGTTTGATTGACATTTTTTCAAAGAAGTGTAATATTTATTAAAATTATAGTTCCAGTGTCGTTTTCGAATACAAAAAGTTTGTTAAACATTTATTTAATTCCACCGAAAAATCATGCATGTGCTCATCAATAATTACATATTCCTTGTAACGAAGAAAAAGAAACCAATGTTCTCCATGATTAGGAACCAAGTCCTTTTTAGCCGGCTGAAATGACATTGTCTCTTAGATATTTACCGTGAGCCAGGGAATTAGTGATCCAAATCAAATGTCAATTTATATTATATGAAAAAGGTGGGCCATTAACCAATTAATGGAATGAAAGATATTTTGGGTTGCAACTGCAGATTCACCACAAGAAAATGTTGCTGTCATGAATAAAATTATTTACGTGGATAATAAAACCATCATAAATAATAAAATTTTATGAAAAAATTTTAACTTCATCTTCGCAAGTATCTTTTTATCATCAATAGTAAGACCTACGTGTGTTAGTGTAATTGACTACGAAATAGCATAGATACACAAAAAAAATTAGGGAAAATTGCAGCAGCGATCTTTTAACTTTTTTATTTTTTGTAGACTTTATCCTAACATTCATTTTGTGCCATTCACAGTCCCAAACCTTTCAAAATAATACGCATTTGAAGTCCAAATGATTGTTAATTAACCAAAGAAGTCAAAATCTAATCAATTATGACCAAATTAAAAAAGGTAAAATGGTAACTTTGTATTTTTTCTCACATTAAATAACTTAAAAATAAAATTAAAAAACCAAAAAAGAAAATTAGCCCATCTTCCTCCCACTCTACTCTTCCCTATTCCCACCCACATCGACTGCCAACATTGCTACATAAAGGCCAGACACAATCGCTTCTACCCACACATTGTCAACGTCGTCGCCCAAAGGCAGCAACCATCGCTACAAAAATCAAAGGCACTTCTTCATTAGATTTCACAAAATTGCTCCCAGCAATCTTCACTGTTCCAAGAAAAGTGCTTCTTGGCTGTCGAAATCCACAATCACATATGCACTAGCCGTGCCTTGGCTGTCTTTAGGCATGAGATTCTTGGCACTGCACACTTCCACAATCAATTTTCTGCTTGCCATGGATTTTGATTTTTGCATTAATTTCTTGATCTTGAAACAAGGAAAAAATGGAAAAAGAAATTATGAACGGTGTATTGCTCTTTTGGTACTGATGACTCAAGTTTGGTTACCCTGAACTCGACTTCATTTTGCCCACAAATCTCGACCTTGACCTATGACCCCCGAGTTGATCTTGGCGTGTCACGCCGGTATAAGGTCGGGGTTATTATCTAATTCAACCTTACCCATCGACTTAATCTCCAAAAAGTAGACCCCATCTAAATCTACTCCTTCCCTAATTAGAACTCTAACAAATACACTTCTAATTAAACTCCAATCCCTAGCCCTAAGGGGAAAATGATTCTTTCACTAATAGAATCCTTCTACAGCTCCCCCACCAACACCTATAAATACTTGGCCAAAGCTCAACATCAAGGTACGCTTTTCATTGCTGCAAATTCAAAACCTTCTCTCATCAATCTCCCCGTCCGATTTAAGCATCGGAGGGGCGACGAGAACACATCTCGTTGCCTTTTGTTTCAGGTATCGGAAGACTGTTCGTGCTCATTTGTGAAATCTAAGTTCGGAGTTCAAACCACAAATTCGCGGTCTATCAGGTACAATTTTTGGTAGCATCCTTGGCGCCGTCTGTGGGAATCGCTACCAAAAGCCATGGTGAATACACGATCAGGTCTTCCACCAGTAAGCTCATTCACTCCAAATCTTCCCCCTGAAGATCATCCTGTCCCTCAAGAGGAATCATCAGAGATGGCAGTACCACCACCGGCTGTCATTATCGCCGGAGCTTTCGAAGAGCTCCGCCAAAAAGTTACCACATTGACTCAGTTATTAAGCCAAAGGAACTCACACCCATCGTATACACCGACACCGGATGGTGATCTTATGGCAGCTGCTCAAGTTTGAGCTCCACAAAACATTCCTGATAACGGTGTTGGGACCTCGGGTGTACCTCCTATGACCGCGGCCTTAAGGGCAGTAACAATAGAATAAGGTGAATTTGCCAGAATCATCCAAGAAGGTATTGCCGTGGGACTAGCACAGAAATCAAAGGGAGCAACAGGCTTTACCCCTAGCACTCCCTTTACTCCTGAAGTATTGTCCTACCCCCTTCCGAATAGGTTCAAGTATCCCAGGATAAAGGAATATGATGGGACCATCGACCCTATCAACCACCTCAATATATATACCGATGTCATGAACTTACAGGTTGCACCTGACGCTGTAATGTGCAAAGCCTTCCCTCAAACTCTTACAAGCGCAGCTAGAGATTGGTTCTCCACATTAGAGCCGAGCTCTATCACTTCGTTCGCAGACCTAGCTGATAAATTCTCCGCTTTCTTCGCAAGCAGCAAGCGAATCAGGAAAATAGCGGCGTCACTTATGCAGATGCGCTAGGGGCCCAATGAAACATTACGCAATTTCATGACCAGATTCAATAAAGAAAGACTTCAGATTCCAGATCTACATATTACAGCTGCGGTCTCAACTTTGACGTACGCCATAAGATGCGAAGAATTCAAGATGTCTTTGTCAAACCCCCCAAAGTTAGTAACTGACCTCCTCACTCGAGCTGAGAAATACATCAATATGGAAGAAACTCTAGCCCCAAGAAAGGACGCTTCACCTTTACTTAGGCCGGATAATAAGAGACCGCGTGAACCCAATCAATGAGAACACACTTCCTTGCCTTTTGTTTCAGGTATCGGAAGACTGTTCGTGCTCATTTGTGAGATCCAAGTTCGGAGTTCAAACCACAAATTCGCGGTCTAATTATTCCCTTGAATACATCAAGGTCCAACATCCTGATGGAGATCAAGGACCTCAAAGAGCTTAAATGGCCTCCTAGAATGCGGTCATTACCTGAAAATAGAGACAGAACCAAGTACTGTGACTTTCATCGGGGCCACGGACATACCACTGAAGGCTGTTTGGCTCTGAAGCAACAAATTGAGGCTCTCATTAGGAGGTGTTTTTAAGGCTCTTACACTAGCCATGAAAAATGCCCGAGGAACAATCAGAACAACGTACAGGAAGGGCGTGGTAGTGAACCGCCAACTGCAGGCACGATTAACGTTATTATCGAAGGAACAGCTTCAGGAGGAGACACTAACAGTGGACGTAAGTAGTATGTTAGACAGCTTCCAGCCTCCTCCAATACAAATCTTGCTCATACGGAAGATATCACCTTCGGGTCGAAGGATTTGGAAGGAATATCCTTCTCCCATGATGACGTCCTAATCATATCAGCTATCATAGCTAATTTCGAGGTCAAGAGGATTCTTGTGGATAACGGAAGTACAGCTAATGTTCTGTCTCATGAAGCTTTTGTTCAGATGGGTATCTCAGTAGAACAACGCAAGCCTGTTAAAACACCCCTCCAAGGATTTGGTGGCGGGGTCATTACTCCTGAAGGTATTGTTGGATTACCCATGACTTTGGGATCTGAAGGTCGGCAGGTAACCCATATCATAAATTTCGAAGTTGTCTGAACACCGATGGCCTACAACGCCATTCTGAGGAGACCATTGCTAAATAAAATCAGAGCTGTTATCTCAACTTTTCACCTGGCGATGAAGTTCCCCACATGTAGTGGAGTTGGAGTCGTCCGAGGAAGCCAAACCATGGCATGCCAGTGCTATGTGACTAGTGTCTGAAAAATGAAGGGAGATGTCATGCAGCTTTTAGAGCTCGAGCCTGGTAGGAAGGTGACAGTAGGACGTGATCTTGATTCAACCATCATGGCTAAACTCATAAGTTGTCTCTCCCAAAACCAAGATGTATTCGCTTGGACAGTTGAAGACATGCCGGGAATTAACCCCGAGGTTGCAGTACACAGGCCCAATGTAAACCCCGGAGCCAAACCTATCAAATAAAGGAAAAGACAGTTTGCACTGGAATGACGCGAAGTAATACGAGAAGAGATTGCCAAGCTCTTTAATGAACAATTCATCCGAGAAGTGCAATATCTTGATTGGCTTGCCAATGTAGTTCTCATGAAAAAGGCTAATGGAAAGTGGCGAGTTTGCATTGACTTCACTGATTTGAACAAAGCATGTCCAAAAGATAGCTATCCCCTACCCCGGATTGACAGCCTCGTTGACAGCACTTCGGGTCACAAATTGTACATCTTTTTGTATGCATTCTCAGGGTACCATCAAATTCCAATGGCCACAGAAGATCAAGAGAAGACCTCATTCATGGCCAATTCAGCCATCTATTGTTATAAGGCCATGCCATTCGGGTTAAAGAATGTGGGGGCTACATATCAGAGGCTAATCAACAAGATCTTTGCTGATTTGATTGGAAAAACCATTGAGACTTACGTAGATGACATGGTGGTCAAAAGTAAATAGGTGGATGATCATATCACTGATCTCGAAGAAGTGTTTTCCACGCTGCGAAAATACAACATGAAGCTTAACCCAACAAAATGTGCCTTTAGGGTATCATCAGGAAAGTTTCTAGGTTTTATGATCACAAATAGAGGAATAGAAGCCAATCCTGACAAAATCCGAGCCCTAATATCTATGGAAGCCCCAAAGAGCAAAAAGGACATCCAAAAGCTTACAGGTCGGGTAGCAGCATTGAACATATTTGTCTCTCGGGCAGCGGACATATGTTTCCCCTTTTTCAAAATCCTAAGAGGCAACTAGAGCTTTGAATGGAATGATGAATACGATCTAGCCTTCCAACAGCTTAAGCAAACTTTAGTTGTACCTCCGGTTCTTGCCAACCCAGAGCCTGGTGATACTTTGTTCCTTTACTTAGCTATCTCTCGAAATGCCGTAAATGGGGTGCTAGTAAAGGAAAAAAGAAAAGTGTAGCAACCCATCTACTATGTCAGTAAAGTGCTTCTTGACACCGAAACTCGATATACCCTTGTGGAACAGTTAGCTCTTGCCTTGATAGTAACTGCTAGAAAGTTGCGGCAGTATTTTCAATCTCACCCCATAATAGTTCTCACCAATCAACCACTCAAGCACATACTTTAGATGCTAGATGTTTCAGGAAGGTTATTAAGGTGGGCGATCAAACTTGGCGAGTTTGATATAGAATTCAAGCCTTGACCTTCTATCAAGGCACAGGCTCTGACCGACTTCATAGCTGAACTCACTCCAAAACCACAAGGGCCCGAAATAAAAAACCTGAACAAGACCTCAAAAACCTGGGGGATATTTATCGATGGGGCGTCAAACAGCTCGGGCTCGGGGGCCGGGATAATTATCATCAACCCGGACAAGGCCACTGAAGTTCAATGCGGGCTTAAGTTTGAGTTTGAAGCAACCAACAACGAAGCTAAATATGAAGCTGTGGTCATTGCTCTCGAACTTGCTAGAAGTTTGGAATTAGAGCATATCAGAGTCTTTAGCGACTCACAGCTCGTTGTTGGACAGATCGAAGGATCCTTTGAAAGGAAAGCTGAAAAGATGAGCTTGTACTGCCTAAAAGTGCATGATCTTCAGAGACAATTCACAAGTTGTGAAATATTGAAAATAGCAAGAGCAGATAACTCCAAAGCTGACACACTATCCAGACTCATTTTCATGAGGATAGATGGACTCGACAGAATAGTACACATCAAGATTGTCACAGAGCCTAGCATAAACGCGAAGCCGAGCGTCATGGACATTGACCATGAGCCTTCCTGGATTGATCCAATAGTTGAGTATATAAGTAATGGAAACCTACCTCCTGGCCCTCGCGCCGCAAGGAGTATTTGGGCCAGAGCTGCTAGGTATTGTATTATCAGAGGGGTGTTGTTTCGAAGAAGTTTCACACTCCCTTATCTGAGATGCCTCAAACCTTCCAAATCTCTCCAAGCCCTGACTGAGGTTCACGAGAGAATATACGGAAATCACCAGGGAGCCAGAGCCCTTGCCTACAAATTAATAAGGTATGGGTACTACTGGCCAACTATAAAGAAAGATGCAGCTAAATATGTCAAAAGGTGCGACAAGTGTCAGAGGTTTGGTAATGCTATACATGCCCCTGCAGAAGAGTTGACCTCTATCCATTATTAGGCACCATTTGAAAAATGGGGAGTAGACATCCTTGGACCTTTCTCCATGGCCCGATGACAGTTAAAATTTGCTGTGGCATCAGTTGAGTACTTCACAAAGTGGGTAGAAGCCGAATCCCTAGGTTTGGAATACCCAAAGTACTTATAACGGATAATGGAAGGCAATTCGACAATTCACAATTCAGAAACTTCTATGTCAATCTCGGGATTGACCATCGTTTGATGTCAGTATCGCATCCTCAAAGTAATGGCCTTGCTGAGGTAACAAATAGGATCATACTTTAGGACCTTCACACTAGGATTGAAAACACAAGAGGTGACTGGCCCGATGAGTTGCCCTCCATACTATGGGCATATAGAACTTCTTATAAAATAGCAACAGGCGAGACTCCTTTCATGTTGGTCTTCGGCTTAGAGGCCACTATCCCCGTCGAAGTCAGTCTCCCCACTTTGAGGAGAGTTGAACTCGGCATGGAGGACCAAACAACCGAACATCTTGACTTACTTGAAGAAGTAAGGGAGCAAGTTTCACTAAGAGCTGCTAGTTACCAAAATAAAACGACAAAGTACTTTAACACTAAGGTCAAGTTACGAGAATTTAGGAGTGGCGATTTGGTTCTAAGAAGAGCAGAAGCAGCTGGACACCCACCAGGTAAACTTGGAACGGTATGGGAAGGGCCATTCGAAGTCATACGAAGGATCAAATGCGGAGCATACAGCTTTAGAGACACTTCAGGAAATCCACTCCCAAGGCCTTGGAATGCAGATAACCTAAAAATATATTACAAGTAGAATAGCAGTAGTGTCGTACTAGGGCATGCACGCCCACCTTATTTTTATTTTTCAGTAGCTCGGGTTTATGCACCCTTGAGCATTTTGTTTTCAGTAGCTCGGGCTAAGTACCCTTGAGCACCTAATAATATTCAAGTTTCTTTCTACTAGCACTCCTTAAACTCTGGCGTCACGACGTGCTTCGGGCATGTAGCCAACTCGTTAACATTAGTGTAATGATGTGCTACGGGCATGCAGCTACTAACTCTGGCATAATGACGTGCTCCGAGCATGCAGCCAACTCTTTAAAGTTAGCATAATAACGTGCTACGGGCATGGAGCTAATAACTTCGGCGTAATGACATGCCTCGGGCATGCAGCCAACCCCGTGCTCTAAAAGCAGTAACATTGGGTTTGACATACAAACCCGAGGTCATGAACCCAGACCTCTCTTACATTTAAAAATCAACAATGGCTAAGTTTGGGGTCGGGCCTCTTCGCATGATAAAGATCGAACCCGACCCCCTTTGCGACCTAGAAACAGTCTCGAAGACCATATGTGACAATAACTCCATATCATGATTGCGACTTGTTATTTAACAATCGAATTCACAGGAGGCAGATCACACACGAGCCCAATGCCTTTTGCACGACAAGACAAATAATCTAATAGTAGGTTCCTCGAGCCTAAAATACCCAAGTTGTAGTCAAGTAAATAGTTCGAACTCATCATCTGGGTTATTTAATGACTTACAGGCCCTAAGCTCGATCTTGATGAGTACATTAAGAATCGAGCTCAGAAATGACTGATGTTCAATGTCGAAGTGTTGATCGAATTCAAAAGCGTTGTGTAGTGAATGAAAACACGAGCTTGATTAAATTAAAAACAAACACAAGTAATATGCATGAACATTCATCGATTAAATTAAACACAAGTAATATGCATGAACATTGATCGATTAAATTAAAAACAATGTAATGTGCACGAACATTCATCGATTAAATTAAAAAACAAAAGTACTGAGCCTAGTTCGGGCAATATTACAAAAAGTTTCAAAACATCAGGGTTAAGGACCTAATCTATATCTACGACCCTGACATTGTCTCCTTGATCGCCAGTCCCGGCGTCATCTCCATCACCATCATCATCATCCTCACCATCCTCCCCGACCTCAGAGGTCGAAAGTTTGAGCTCCCCTGCAAGCTCGTTCACTGTCTTCAAATCCTCGACCAGTGATTTTAAGTCCTCAGGGACCTTCGTGTGGAGATAAGAACGGGCAAGACGAAGTCCATAATGGTAAGAGCCCGACCCATACTGTCCCGATAGGGTCCCAAACTTGTCAGACTTCTTGAAATCTTCAACAGCCTGAGCTCGAGCCTCATCACGAGCCTTCGCAAGCTCTTCCCCAAAGCACCTCTGGGACTGGAGAAGCTCAAGCTTAACTTCGTCGACCTCAGCCTTGAGGTCAAAGCCTCCAGTGTCTTGACCCCTTCATTAATGTTGACCTCCTTCTCGTACCTATCAACAAGGTCCTTCACAAGGGCACACTCCGTATACTTCTCGAGGGCACTGTCCGAAATAGGCTCGAAGCTTGAATTCACGACGCCCTAACACCCCCGAGCTCGATCTTGATATTTCGACGTCCTATGAGATGTTGAGGTTGGGCTTCTTGACTCAAAGATTGACCCTTAGGAGGTGCCGGGCTCTCAAGATCCACTATAGGCACCCTAACATCGGCATGCCTGGCCCTCTTTTTCCCCTTTTTTGGGACCGGGGCTTTGGACGTTGGCCCCTTGGCCTTATGATGGACATTAGCCAGCAATTTGGAAGGATTAAATGACATCTCTAGATCTGCAAGAAACAAATCACAAGGCATTTGCACGATCTCGACATCAGGAATACGATGACAAAGCATAAAAAGCAAAAGACATACCCTCGAGGCCTTTAACATTTGAAAGGTCGAGGGTGTTATCCTCAAGCAAATAATCGATCTTCTCTGCCAAGGGGTCATGGATAACTAACCTTATTTTGTCCCTCTCTAGAACCTCAAAATACGCCTGACCCTCATTAAACCTATCCTTACCAGGGATCTCCCACCTCGGGCTAAAAGGATGGTCAGGATCTTGGGGTTTTACAAAGAAAAATCTCTCTTTCCAACACCGAAGAGAGCTTGGGGTCTCAGGTGTCCTAAAGCCCCCCTTGGTTGACAAATACACAAAACAATTGAACCCTGACGAGTATTTCATATCGTACACCATCCTCAGAAGGTCGAGCCTAGGCTCAATATCGAGGCATCTACATAGTATAAAGAAATAGACCAACAGCCTCCAACCGTTAGGGGCCAACTGGCACGGACACATATAGAATGAAGTAAGGAAGTGGATAAAAAAGGGGTAAAGAGGCCACTGCATCCCAGCTTTAAGGGCATCCCTAAAAGACGTCATCTCTCCCTCTCGAGCTCCTAAGATATCTTCGGCGCTCTCGGGAACCCTAACATCACAAATGGGCATCACCCCGAACTCTCTAGCTATCTTAATAATTACATGTTCCTTGTAGGTGGTCGGATTCTTTGTATAAGTCAGTACCACCTCCCCTGGAGAGTGCAAGCTAACAGGAAAAGCCAGGGTGACAAGATCTCGACTTTGGTCACCCGGAGTTTCGACAACCATACTTGGGGCAGTAGGGTTCTCATTATCCCCAAGCTCTTAGAAGGCCTACTACTGCTACTATTACTTGATCCCTTACTATTACTACTATTACCACCACTACTACTACTGCTCGACATTACTCTACTCAAATAATTAACAACTTAAAGGCTCGAACTCTTACCTTAATGGCGATCGCTCACAACCCACTATCCCTGAACTCGAGCTTCTTTTTACAGAGAGTGGAGAGTAAAAAGTGAAAATGAATAGTGGGGGGTATTTATAGGGGTCATGGGCATACCAACAGTTACTTAATCTAAACCCTTAAAATATGACACGTGGCAAACATCCAAGTTCGAGCTCTGACAACCAGCCACATGACAGACACGTGACACAGCAGATCTCCAACAGGTAAATGATAGGTGTCGAGGTCGATATTAAACCACAGCATCCTTTTTGCATCTCAATCCGAGATCGTAGATTCTGCACGATCTACAGCTTAGATGCACGGGGGCCTATGATGGCTCAGGTTTGGTTACCCCGATCTCGACTTCATTTCGGCAACAAATCTCGACCTCGACCTATGACCCCCGAGGACACGCCGATATAAGGTCGGGATTATTATCTAATTCAACCTTACCCATCGACTTACTCTCCAAAAAGTAGACCCCATCTAAATCTACTCCTTCCCTGATTAGAACTCTAACAAATACACTTCTAATTAAACTCCAACACCTGGCCCTAAGGGGAAAAGACTCTTTCACTAATAGAATCCTTCTACAGCTCCCCCCACCAACACTTATAAATACTTGGCCAAAGCTCAACATCAAGGTACGCTTTTCATTACTGCAAATTCAAAACCTTCTCTCATCAATGTCCTCGTCTGACTTAAGCATCTGAGGGACGACGAGAACACACCTCGTTGCCTTTTGTTTCAGGTATCGGAAGACTGTTCGTGCTCATTTGTGAGATCCAAGTTCGGAGTTCAAACCACAAATTCGCGGTCTATCAGGTACAATTTTTGGTAGCATCAGGTACAAATACAAAACACGAAATACAAGAGTGAGGAATAAGCTTAGAGAGAGACCATAGAGATTTATAGGGACCGTTGAGTAACAAGACAATGGTGATGGTGGTGGTGGGAGATCGATGTTGGTGGTCGTGAATGGTTATCTGGTTTTGATTGGGTGGAGGTGGAGGTGGAGGTGGAGGTGGAGAAGAAGGTGGGATGCAGGGTGTGTTGGGGGTAGAGTGAGAGGAAAAGGGTGGGAGTAGGGGTGTGGTGGTGTCCAGTGGATGGCGGTCGACGGTCCTCTACCACTGGTTGATTTTCACTTGTTTGGACGACGGTCTCCAGTGGGAGGAAAAAAGTGCCTCTTTTTTTAATTATTATTATATTTATGGTTTATTTATTTAATTTTTCAACTTATTTAATGGTAAAAAAATGTAAAGCACCATTTTACCCCTTTCAATTCAATCAAAATTGGTCAAAGCCCACTTTTCTTGATTAACTAACGATCAAATGGATGGATTCTATCCATCTGGAATTTAGATGCATATTTTTAAAAGGTGGGACCATGAATG